CCTCTTGTAAAGCAGCCACTGGACGGAGCGGAGCTGCATGTGTGTGTCTGGTTTGGTGTAGTTGGCTGAGATTAAAGCTAAGAAAAGCTTTCATGTCCGTATAAAACATGTAAAACCACTAAGCGGATTCTACCCGTAACAGGAAATTAGCAACTTTGGAAACATGAAGCAGTCACAGTTATGCGGTCACCCTTCCTTCCTCCTATCAGTATCGCCACCCGCCGCCGCCACCCACCTTCACCCAATAGTCCATATCCTTAGACCAACGAGGCACTCACTCCCCGCCATCACCGGCCCCCCACCGCCCCCCTCCTCCACTCCAGGGACTGCCGTGCCAGGCGGGTGCAGGGTGACAGATGGCATACACCAACCTCCCCCCCCCTCTCTCTCCCCTACTGCACCAGCCCCCCTGCTCGGCCCCCCCGGTGGCGCAGCGGCGGACCAGATCAGTGCCATTCTGTCTCATTAGAGCCTGGCTAATTAGCGTAGCCTCTTCCAGGGGAGAATGAGCGAGTGAGAGAGGGAGACAGAAAGAGAAAGAGAGATGGGGAGGGAGGGCGCCGTTTGTGGTGGTGACTGCGTTCTGTACTCCACTGGCCATTGAGGAGTCGGAGGGCTTTGAGCCCCGCAGTGCGCGGGGCTCCCAGGGTGCTTGTTTTATGACAGCAGGGACTCTGATTCCATCCACCGCACAGTTCCTCTCAGGAAGTGTTGGGAATGTTTAGACATAAAAGTCGTGTCAAAGGAATGCCCCCGATCCGCTCCACCCCACCCTCAGCCGACCTCCCATCGCTCAGCTGAATATTAGCTGCCCTCTCCGTCAGGCTAGCCAACACAGCAAGCCTCCCCTGTTAACACGAATGAAAACAAAGCACTGCAGCTTGCTAGATAGTGCTCTAGCCCTACTGAGCCAGTTAATAATGTTGACATCAACTCCGGGCTATCCAGATCATAGCTTGCACCTCTGCAGGCTAAAATGAAATGGGCCGTTTGGCAAATAGCGCAACTTCTGGCAGTGTCAACGCTGGATTTGAACCAGCAGCGCGCAGTTGTTTTCTCCAAGTCTGACATCTCCTGAAGCTAAATGGAGATGGAGCATTCTTGGAGCGTTCGATCAGTCTGAATCATTGAGGAACGGATCATGAATAATGATTTCGATTTTATCAAAGAGTAAACACAATATGTATCCTAATAAATCAGAATGGCTTTGTGGATTGCTTAAAAAAAATGAATGCTCTGACTTCAAGTAAATAGCAAACATTAATCTGATGAAGTATTGTGGCTCGGGTTAGAGTCGCTGCTCTATAGTTACTACTCTGAATATGTGGCAGTAAAAGAGTGATTGAAACGCAACGTTGAATATGTGCATGTGGAGGGTGAGGACTGGCAGAGGCCTTCAGTGGTTACGAGCCCTAAGAGAGGACAGGATGGCTGCGTTCCAAAAACTCCCCGAACACCAGCCGACATAAATATGCACACTGGAGTACACATGCACTGGTCCACGCGTTCAATGTGCCTCCTCAGAAAAACACACAGTACATGCTCCACTCTTAACCGCACGCTCGGTGGAGCGTGAACCAATGAGCAGGCTCGGGTGAACTTTTCTACTCAAAGTATTGCTGCACGTGGCCTCCGTCAGGTCACCATCTCCCATCTTTCTCTCCTTAAAGATTGTCAGATCTGTTCTCCTCTTCTCGGCTGTCTCAGATACGCTAACGTGGTGTGCACCTACCCGCATGCGTCCCAGTCACCTGGTCCCGTGCTTATGTAAACATACTGGGAAACCCTAAGCTGAGCTGAACAGGCAGAGTTTGAAATGCAAACCAAGCAGACAGGACAGTGCCAGTTTCAGTGATGAGGCCTCTTCCTTCCCCTCCCCCCATGATTATTTCCCTGGACCCCATATGGGCATCCTGCCAGTCTAGCCCATCCTCCATCCTCATCACCAACCACAGTACCAGCAGTCTCTGCTGGCATGGTGCTCTACCCACGGCTCGGATGGTTATGTTTTTTTCCCCCTGCAAGGCTGCAAACCTCTCTTGACCTAAGCTTAAGTGATGATTTTGAACATTGTAAATGGATACATTCAGCTGTTCCTCTCACTGATTTCGACAATACTAGCATTTTAAAAACCTAAAAAATGTTTTCAAAGCAACACCTCTTTTAAAAACGAGTAACCAATGTAGCCAATAATATGTAGTATGACTAAAGAGACCACAAATCACTGCTAATCACTAACGAGCA